TCTCTATCTCTCTCTCTATATATATATATATCTCTATATATCTCTATATCCATCCACACCCCACACACACACGTATTGTGTGAAAAGCAGACATAGGGAACAGTAGTTTTCTCACCATCCTTGCATTGAGCCTGTGTTGATCTACCCAAAAACAAACACTTTTTTTGAGGAGCGCAACTACCTGGATTCACTTTAGTAAACACATGGGCTGAACAATAGATGTGCATATTATGTTAGGACACATACATGTCAAATTGGAGTGCGGACCGCCATCCTATGACTGGCCCTATGGGATAGAAAAGATGTTGACTTACAGTTAGGATGTGGGAAAATGTGCCCAGGGGTCTCTCGCAGGTTTCACTTCCAAGATCTATTGGTCGGGTCCTTTTTGCTGAGAGGTGAATGGCTGGGAAGGAGCTTGGCTCATTGACTGGTTTCCTCCAGTGGTAAATGTTGGCAGGTCTAAAACAAAAGATTACCAGTCATGATGGTGCTGCCGTTGCCAGTATATCATGAGGGTTACTTGGGCTACCATTGGCAGCCTCTTTGATGGTAGGTGCCAAGCTGACCAGTTTATCTAGTAAGTTCAGTGATTTGAGCCATAGATTTGGCACAAGTGTAGTTGGAGCACCTGATAAATCTTTAGAGTCCTACCTAAATTATTAAAGCTGGAGGATTGAGCAACTAGCATTTTCAGAAGGTTAACGGTAGCCCACAGCTTTCACCACATGTTTCTGTTTTAAAACTACACTGCTCAAAAAAATTAAAGGAACACTTCTTTTTTTTTTTTTTTTTTTGATCAGAGTATAACATCGTCAATTAAACTCCTGGGATATTGATCAGGTCAGTTAAGTAGCAGAGGGGGTTGTTAATCAGTTTTAGCTGCTTTGGTGTTAATGAAATTAACAGGTGCACTAGATGGGCAACAATGAGGCGACCTCCAAAACAGGAATGGTTTTACAGGTGGAGGCCACTGACATTTTTTAACTGGTGTTTGCTAGTTTTGCATTTGGCTAAAGTCAGTGTCACTACTGGTAGCATGAGGGTTTGGAGAAGCTGTGGAGAATGTTATGCTGCCTGTAACATCGTTCAGCATGACCGGTTTGGTGGTGGGTCAGTGATGGTCTATGGAGGCATATCCATGGAGGGACGCACAGACCTCTACAGGCTAGACAATGGCACCCTGACTGCCATTAGGTTTCGGTATGAAATCCTTGGACCCGTTATCAGACCCTAAGCTGGTGCAGTGGGTCCTGGGTTCCTCCTGGTGCACGACAATGTCCGACCTCATGTGGTGAGTATGCAGCCAGTTCCTTGAGGATGAAGGAATTTATACCATTGAATGGCCCCCACGCTCGCCGGACCTGAATCCAATAGAACACTTGGGACATTATGTCTCGGTCCATCCAATGCCGCCAGGTTGCACCTCAGTCTGTTCAGTGATGCCCTGGTCCAGATCTGGGGGCCATACAAATTACTAAGTACAGTACCATTTTGAGTTGCAATGAAATTTCAGCACGATGGACTAGCGTGCTGCATCATTTATTCACTTTGATTTTTGGGTGTTGAATTCAGCCCTCTAGGTTGATAATTTGTAATTTCTCTCAAACGATGTGGCATCCTTTTGTTCCAAACAGATTATCCAGTTCAGTATACAGTACATATCCAGCATCATATTTTTCCCCATTTGAGATCTGATGTGTTTTTCATTCAATTTTTTTTAGCAGTGTATAAGAAATAGGGATGTTCAGATACCAAGTACAGTACTCGGAGCTGATAAAGTATCTCTACTTGTACCAAGACTAGACTAGAGAAAAATTCAAAGTTAGTAGGCAGCTGTCATTTTTAACCACTTAAAGACAAGGGTGTTTCCCTCTTCCTGGCACGGCTATATTTCAGTATTCAGAGCTGCAGTACTTTGACTGAAATGTATTCCGTCATGCAACGCTGTACTGAAATTAATTTTATACCATTTTTTTGGGGACTGATAGAGCTTTCTTTTGGTGGTATTTATGCACCACTGGGGTTTTTATTTTTTACTATATAACAAAAAAAAGTACCTTTTTTTATTTTTTTTAAAAAAAAAAACCTTTTCTCTCCCGTTCATTGAAGGACACAGGGCAACAGATCGTAGATCCTGTATGGTAGGGTATATCTCCTCCTGCAGAAGAAGGACGCTAGGCACATAACAAAAGACAGACAGCCTGCTGACAAGTCTCCAGTTTTTTGCCTAGCGTCAGGATTAAGGAGCTAAAAAAATTTGCTCTGGAAGATTTTATTCTTTTTCTCCATTTTTTTTTTTCCGCTGTATGTTAAAGCAAGTTTCACCAGGGCGACACGCTGGATGTTTGTAGATCCTTGTCTCTCCTGCGTGACCGATGAGCGCATGCAGTCTCTCTCACTGTTGGTCGGCTGCGACGCTTGGTTCCTCTCGACGCCTATGGGGTGCATATGACGGGGGGTCCTGGCCTACCTGCCGCAACACTCCACACAGGCTGGTGGCGCCGCGACTACGTCGGGGGGCAGTTTGTCTGCCGCTCCCCCGCACGTCCTGACTGAGGATCATCAATTCCTGGAGTCGGGCTGTTTCCCTGCGGGGCTATGTATGTGGTGGCGGTGACTGTTGAGGGGATCGTGACATCTTGTGGTATGATGCTGGGCTGCACTGTTTCTGTGTCGGCTGCATCTCCTGGCTGCCTTTTCCCTCCTGCCTCTTGGTGTTTGGTCTGGCTGGGCCTGTAGGTGGCAGGGGGTGTCCTGCTGCTATCGCAGAGTGTACGGGCTCGGCTACGGCCGTTCGTATATAAAATTCATTTCAGTACAGCGTTGCATGACGGAATGAATGTCAGTCAAAGTACTGCAGCGCTGAACAGGAAGGGGGGTGTAACACCGGACTTTAAGTGGTTAAAGCAAAAGCTGATTTGGTTGGTTTTATTGCCTTTTTTTTTTTTAAATCTTAAAGTTCCCTGCTGTAAAGAAAATGTTAGTGAAGCTGTTCTGAAACATGTAAACCTGTTCAACTGGTTCTGTGTAAAAAGCCTGGCAATTGTAATCACTACATTCAGACATGCAAGAGCAAGTTTAAAAAGCAAAGATGTGTAATGCTAACTATTTTTTGTTTAATAGGCTAAAATTAAGGCCCGAGACCTGCGCGGTAAGAAGAAGGAAGAGCTGTTAAAGCAGTTGGATGACCTCAAGGTAGAACTGTCACAGCTCAGAGTTGCTAAGGTGACAGGAGGAGCTGCTTCTAAGCTGTCCAAAATGTGAGTATGTTTTACTAATTTATTTAGTACAGACATTCTGTTCACCGTACAGAGATTGGCAAACCATTTCTCATCAGTACAAGGTTGCTAGCCCAAATGAATTGTATGTGTACCCTTTTATAATGGCTTTTGAAGTCTAAATTTTAAAAAGAGGAGTTTGTTTGGAAAATATATATCCATAGGCTTCTGTTCATGTGTCAATCAAAAGGGAATGCGTGTAAGATTTCCTTGTTCCTTGATCTCCTTATTTTGTAATTTATGTACATGGAGGCAGCTATATTTGCCGTTTGGTGCACCTGTGCCCAGGCAATGGACGTTACCTTTTTATATTTTCTTAACAGGCAGTAAGTGTTAAAACAAGCCATGATAGACCTCTAGTTAAATGTACTGTAAAGTAATTCATTCTTGAAGATCAAAGCAGGGACTCTAAAATTCTGCTTTTGCTGGTTTCCAAACACTTAGTTTGTTTGTAGGCTGGCAGGCTGCCAAGTTTCTGTTTCCATAGAAAATGGACAGGAGCTGTCATTTCAGTACTTCTGTTGTGAAATCTGAAGATTTGTTTCTCCACAATGACAGTAGCTATCAAGAGTAGAGGTGCACCGAAATGAAAATTTCAAAACCCGAAATGAAAAAGTCAGGCCAAAACAAAGTTGTGCTTTTTTTTTTTTTTCTAACCTTTTAAAAAAAATTTACATTTTTTTATTTGGTAAATGTTTAAAAAAAAAAATATTTTTTATTAAATATTTTTACTTTTAGGGGCTTCAGGGAAACAGACCCCTTTTATAAAATGGAAAAAGAGATTGAGGACTCTGTTCTCAATCTCTTTTTCTGCAGCCCCTGTTTATAAATGAACAGAAATCCTCTATAGCGAGTTTTCCTGTTCATTCATAACTTGTGGATATAGTATGTTGACTGTATCCGCAATCATGAATGAACAGGAAGTGATGTAGCTCACTTCCCATTCATTCATAATTGGGGACATGGTAAACATACTCTGTCGTCAATTTACAAACAGTCAGTGATCGTTGATTGCTTGTACCGCTCTCCTTCCTGGATCAGCTATCACAGGAGGCTGAACAAGTGGTGTGGCGAGCAGATCTCGATCTCTGACAGCTGTCTCCGCCCCCACACCGCTGCTCTCCTGTCACAGGAGGCTGGGCGGTGCGGGTATGACTGTTTCTCTCCTCCCCACTAGACGCTGTGCTGTCAGAGCAGATGTAGACTTTGATTACAGATCTTACCTGTTACCTCGGATCCATCTTCCTCCACCTGGGGTCCCTTGGTTTCGGGTGCTATGGTGTTGAGGGACACTTAGTCTGGGTAGTGAGCAGCATATTTATGGCTCTAACTAGAATCAACAGCTGCTTGCAGTAACCTATTAGCGACAAAAAAGTTAGCTTCCACTTTTCATTCAGATCAGTACTGGAGGGTTTTAGGCCTGCTGCTTCTATTTGTACTACCCAGGTTGGCCCTGTGGGGTCCTTAGGGGTGTCCAAACAGAAGGATCTTGGTGAACCACGTCCTTCTCATACTTTTTCCTCATCAGAGGAGCTTTGTACCCAGGATGATGTTTCAGGTACTTCCAGGTATAAGTTCTTTGGATGACGTGGATGACTTGCTGGCTGCCATTTATAGTACGTTAGAGATTCATGAGGAACGTGTTAAGTTGTCTAGACACGATCTTATGCATGAGGGTTTACAGGTTAAAAAAAAACCTAGAGCGTTTCCTGAACATAAGATTCTATCTGAAGCTATTCTCAAATAATGGGCGGACCCTGAGAGCCTCAGATCAAGTAATCTAAAACGCAGGTTTCCGTTTGACGATGACCCCGCTTTGCTTTGAACAAAACTCCAAAGCTGGATGCTCCTTTTGGCTAAAGTGTCCAAGAAGTCAGATTTGGCCTTTGAGGACACTGGTGTTCTCAAGGACCCTATGGATAAGAAAATAGGTTTTATTGAAGAGGGCTTGGGATTCTTCTTTATTAAATTTGAAGCCCGCTCAGGCTACTAGTGTGGCTAGAAACTTGGGAGTTTTGGCTCTCACAGTTGGTTACATTTACTTGCAGGAACCCCAAGAGAACAGCTCTTTGAGTCACTACCAATGCTTTTTAAAGCTGTTGGATACTTTGTGGACGCCTCAGATGAATTGGTGAAGATGACAGCCAGGCCCTCTGCTTTCATTAACTCTTTTCGCAGGACCTTCTGGTTAAAAGCCTGGGAAGGGGACGCTGCTTCCAAATTAAGGTTATGTAACCTCCCCTTTTCAAGAGATTTGCTTTTTGGGGCATAGATAGAAACCATTCTGGAAAGAACTGCAGACAAAAAGAAGGCATTTCCAGAGAAGCCCTTTCGTAGGGTTTTTTTTTTTCGAGGCCCAAGGAATAGACCTCAGGAAAACGAGGATAAGCCCAAAAAACATTTGACAGGGCAGGGGTAGAGCGGGTATTCCTTTGAACCCTCCCTCCCAACCCCCAAAGCTGCGATGACTGTCTACTTCTGGTGGGAGGAAGACTGGGGGACTTCCTTCCTCAGTGGATGAAGGAAACCTCCAATCTAAAGGTTGGAATTCAACAATGTGCCTCCCACGCGTTTTCTTGTCACGCACCTTCAAAAACATTCAGAGAAAGCAACGGCTCTTTGTCTGTTGTTGAGGGAACTGGTAGATCAAAGGGTTATCTCCCAAATCCCAGTACAGGAAGAGCAGCAGGGGTTTTTACTCCCGCATCTTTTTAGTATAAGAAGCCTTCTGGGAAGTTTCGGTGAATACTAAACTTAAAGCCTCTGAATGTTGTGATAAAATAGAAGAGGTTCAGAATGGAGTAAATTTTCTCGATCAGAACCGTTCTGCAACCAGGGGCTTACATGGCTACTCAGGATTTTGAGGGATGCTTACCTGCATATCCCTATTCACCCAACTTTCCAGGAGTTTCTGTGCTTCGCAGTGAAGATAGGACCGGTTTTTCACCATTACCAGTTCAGGGCTCTCCCGTTTGCTCTATCCTCGGCTGCTTGCATTTTTTCAAAGGTATGGGGGGAGGCCCTGGTACCCTTGAGACTGCAGGGAGTCCACATCATCCCCTATTTGGGCGACATCTTAATGTCTGCAACCTCGGCCAGTCATTTGGAAAAGATTTAGTGGTAACTCGCAGGTGATTGCAAGATCTGTAGTGGATTTTAAATCTTCCAAAGTCCAATCTAATGCCATCCAAGTCACCTGGGTTATATTTTGGATACGGTGAAACCAGACTTTCTTCCTCAGGAAAAGATTGTGAAGGCTTCTTCAACGGTCAGTCGCCTTCAGAGCAGTCATCGTGGATCCTTAAGGGAGATGTCAGTGCTGGGGCTCACGACTGCTTGTTTGCCTGCCGTGGGCTCGTTTTCATCAGAGACCTTTTGCAACAATTTTTTCTGAGAAAGTGGAATCGAGCCCTGGACAGTCTAGACTCTCCGATTTCCTCTTCCCCCCCCCCTCAGTAAAGACAAGTCTGCTGGTGGCGAACTCAGACACAGCTTGTCTTTTTCAGGCTTCCAAAAAAAGGATGCAAGTTCTTGGGGGCGGGGAGCTCATTCAGAAGAGTTGGATCAGGGTCACAGGTCTCTAAGAGAGTCAAGAATGTCCTCCAACTGGAGGGAATTGAAGGCAATTGCAAATGCAATCAAAATTTTCCGGGACGGGTTGAAGGGACATCATCTCTTGATATTCACAGACAACATTACTTTAGTGGTTTATTTGAACAGGCAGGGGGGGCACAAGAAGTTTACCTCCTGCAGATTCTAGCCAGGGAAATATTTTTCTGCGCATAGGTGAACCTTGCCTCCTTGGCGTCAGTGCACCTAAAGGGAACCCGCAATTTCATGGTGGATTACCTGAGTCATCAGATATTGCAAGACGAGTGGGTTTTGAACAAGGAGATATTTTTTTCCCTCCTGGTGGAAAAGTGGGGTCCTCCAGTGGTGGATCTCTTTGCTTCACAAGAGTACAAAACTGCAGCTGTTTTTCTACCTGCATACAGGACACTCCACCTTGGCGGTGGATGCTCTGTCAAACCCATGGCATTTTCCTCCGTGTTAAGAGCTAATGGTCTTTCCAGTAAGGTCATTGATACGCTTCTTTTTAGTCGTAAGCCAGTAACGCGTAAGGTTTGGAAACCGTTTAACTCATGGAGAACTATGGGTAACAGATTCTGGGATTCCAGCCATCTTAATTTCCTTCAAGAAGGAGCAGGTAAGGGTTTGGCGCTTAGTACTCTTAAGGTACAACAGTATCAGCACTCTATTTTTCTTCTGGTGTCTCTGGCCGTGGATCTGTTTATAGCTAGATTTTTTAAGGCCCTCAGAAGGATCCGGCCTGTGGCAATGAGAAGAGTTCCTCAGTGGGATTTGTCTATGGTACTACAGGGGCTCACAGGTCCTCCCTTTGAACCTTTGCAAGAATCCTCACTCAAATCTTACGTTAAAGACAATTTTTCTTATTGCCATAACTTCAGCCCGTACGATAAGTGATCCAAGCGATGTCTGTCAGAGAGCCATTCTTATTGATTTGAGGATCGGGTAATCCTTAGGACAGATCCTGCCTTTTTGCCAAAGGTATCGTCAAATTTCCATAAAGTACAGGAGATTGTCCTACCTACTTTTTGTTCTAATCCAGCTGGTACTAAGGAGTTGACATTCAGCTGTTTGGATGTTAGATGTTGTCTGCTTCATTACTTGCAGGTAGCTAAGGAATTTCGGAAATGTGAGTCGCTATTCTATTCTCAGGAAGATCTAGAGGGGAGCAGGCCTCTAAATCCTCTTTAGATAGACAGGCTATTTTGTAAGCTTATTCTGTTTTGAATATGCCTCCTCCTTCCTTCCAAGCAATGCTTTGCTGATGACAAGGCAATCCTAGTGTGCATTGCTTTGCCAAACTGAACTAATTTTGCCATTTCAAAGCAGGAAGTGAATGCTCGGTTAGTGTATTTAAAAATCACAGCATTTTACACCTGACATGTCAGTTATTATTATTCCTCCTACATATAGGGATGCATTGGTAGAAGGTTTGATCTTTTGAGTGTAAAGGTCTGCTTGCCCAGAATATGTAAATGCTTTAGTATACAGGTTACTTTAAGGTGCATGTCCACTTTTTGCAGTAAAATTGAGAAACCGGCAAACTTTTCCTATTCACACAGCACACCAAAAATTGGAAACAAAAATGTTGCTTCTTTTGTAGCAGGGTTAGAAGTGTGCCGTAATAGGCAAGTTTCTTCTTAAACAGATGGCAATGTGCAGCTAAGGAGATGGACTGAAAGACAAAGTAGTCTGAAAAAACAAATTTTAGCCATTACATTTTTGTAGAGTTATAATACTATTTAATGTTAGGAACAGCACGCATGTGAAAAAAGGTGAGTCACACCTAGCATTTAAAGGGTTAAAATAGGGATGCATAGATACCGAGTATTTGGGCGAGTACTCGCCCAAATGCTCCCAATACTTATCCCGATATCGGAACCTCGGGTATCAGGAAGCCCGGCTTCCTGATTGACCGTGGAAGCCAGCTCCATACTCCCTGGTCACCAGGAAGCATGGAGCTGGCTTCCCAGCCACATCAGGAAGCCGGACGGCATGTAATGACTTGCCCCCCGGCTTCCTGATTGGCTAAAAAGCTGGCTCCATGCTTCCTCGTCACCTGGTGGCTAATCGGGAAGCCGTATTAGTGGAGGTGCACCAAAATAGAAATTTAAAAACCGAAATAAAAAAAACTTGTCAGGCCGAAACCAAAAATGTTTGTTTTTTTCATAAACTTTTTTTTTTATTCATTTTTTTATTAAATATTTGTATTTTATACTTTACCTTTAGGGGCTTTGGGGAAATATTGGGTCTAAACAGACCCCTGATATTTCCTTTATGTTTACTATAACTACAACTATGAATGAACAGGAGGTGATTTAGCTCACTTCCCATTCATTCATAATTGAGGATATAGTCAACATACCATGTCCTCAATTATCTACAAACACTCAGCGATTGCCGAGTGTTTGTACTCGCTCTCCTCTCTGACACGCTGTCACAGGAGGCTGAGCGAGTGGAGCAGGGAGGAGAGCTCAGCCTCCTGTGACAGCGCGGGCCGTCTCCGCCCCCACACCGCTCTTCCGGACTGTGATTGGCGGCAATTTCAAAACTGCATGATCATTTCAAATCATACCAACCCCACACCTTGCTGTCCCTCCTGCGTTCCTGGACCAGCTTTGTGGGTGTCCCCCGTGAACATCCATCTGCTGATCTCCCCGCTGAATGGAGCTGGAAGCAGCGCTGATTGCATCACTTCAGCTGTCATCCCCCGTCTAGAGAATGTAAACGTGTCGGGGGCGCCTACGTACGAAAATGGTGAATGCGCTACACGTGTTTGGTATCACTGTGTGCTAGAGTGAGCAATAATAATGATGACCTGTACAGGCTTAAGTGTATGGACAATTTTACTCGGCATAACCTCATCTTTTTATATTTTACAAAAACATTGGGTTTTGTGTCTATGTTCACAAAAATTAACTAAGTATAATTTTTTTTTTGCATACATCTACTAGCAAGCAGACCTATGCAAAACATTAAAAAAATATAAAGCTTACCAAACAAGTTATTACTTGCGTCTCTACCGATCTCTCCCGCCCGAAGATCTGAAGATTGAGTAGCCGGATCATGGGACGGGCGCATGCGCAGTAGAAATCTTCGGCCGGGAGAAGTGGAGAGACACTGGGTAAGTCAATGCATGCGGCCCGGCAGCATGCATGACCACAGACACCGTGGGACACAAGACACAGCAGTCAGCGCTGGATCAGAAATACCAGCGCTGGAGGGACTCCTGAAATCTACTGGAAAGATAATAGGATCAAGAAGCATCATTTGAGTCCTTAAAGGAGGAGATGTGGGTTCGGCATGGCACTTTGACCTCAGGCAGCCGCTCTTGTTTAAAAAAAAAATGAAATGCCCTGTATCAGCCCTGGTACCGATACTAGTATCGATATTGGGAATCCATAACGGAAACACATACAGATCTGGTGTGGAGAGTCTGAATTAGTCCTTAAAGTTTATTTTAAAGGAAGGGGCTATGGGACATTATGTTGACTCTAACCCTGTCTGGACTGTGCTGGAAGAGTTCATTATCCCTTGTAAACCAGTTAAGAGAACTATGGGGCAAGTGGTTTTCCCCATAGTTCTCTTTAGGGTCATGAGAGGACATATACTTACCTCCTCCTGTGACCCAAAGCTCAGTATATAGCAGGCTATTGTGGCCTGGCTCTACCCATCTAGAGGCAGGGCCATGTGTGCCCGCCCCCTCCCCCATTCGTTCCTCCACTCAGCGCAGGAGGATCGCAGAGGGGAGGAGGGAATCCCTGCGGGGAGCGGTGATTGACGGTCACCGCTCACTGCAGGGAGACTATCGGGAAGTGAGCCGATCAGTTACATGTTTCTGCTCACTTCCTGATCAATAAAGCTGACCTGTGACAGCTTCTTCGTCACAGGTCGGCTCGAAGTATGAGGATGAGTAGAAATCACTCGCTTCCACAGTTCTCCTTTTAAATACTTTCTGTCCTAGCAGAGGGTTATAGACTTTGAAGCATTGTATGTTATTGAGAATTGGTTTAGTCTGTCTGTTTGACCATCCTACTTTCAAACTGCTCAAGAGTAGCTTGAAATCTGCACGTATGCCTTCACTAAAATATCTAAATGGTAAGAAAAATATTATTTTGATTTGGGTATACTTTGTGAATAGGAATATAAAATATAGTGGGGTTTTCTCAAAAGTGCAACAGCACTGTAATGCATGAACCCACTAAGATTTATTTCCACAATTTGGCTATAATATGATCCTATTAGAGAAGATCAGAGACTGCCTGTCAATGCAGGGCCTCTTGGAGCTCATGTGGAAAGCTTGAAAAATGATACCAGTAAATCTAGCAGACCTCTTCTGTGATAAGTCTGGTTTAGGCATACCACAAGACTTGGATACCTCTGCTACTTTAATCTTAACTAGAATGTGTTTGTTTTTTTACAGCCGTGTTGTTCGCAAATCGATCGCCAGAGTTCTGACTGTGATCAACCAGACACAAAAAGAAAACTTGAGGAAATTTTACAAAGTGAGTAAAATTTTTCTTACAACATAAATTCTTCTCCAGTGGAGCTTTAGACCTTTTTTGTTTAGTTGGGGCAGGTCCTGGACCAGACTGTTGAAACTCCACATTAGCTGCTCCCTGGCTGCTGCAGGTATTTGGACAGTGGGAAGCATCTAAGTGTTTTGCCTTAAGAAGGGACCTATACGGTTCCGAAACATTGCAGCACGATGTGACCATTCTTTTGTCAAAGAACATTGACTGAAATTCTCATTGGAGTGCGAGTGACTTTTCTACTACATGCTACTGATCTGCAGAGGCATCTACTGTCATCTCAGCACCCACCCATTATCTTGGGTTATATGCGGTCAGGAGTGCGTTTGGAGCGACTTGAATTATATTAGGCCTCATTCACACCTATATTTCAGGTGCATTAGGGATTCCTGTGTCACAAACATGCACCTGCACAGGAATCCCTAATCTGGCAATGATGTTATCATTAAACATTTTGTACATCAAAATCATGTCCCCTCTTAATTGCCTCACTTCCATTGTGAGTTTAAATTTAGCAATCTTTGTCTCATACCTTTTTGGTCTTCCAGCCCCTTCATTAGTTTTGTTGCCATTCTCTGGACTCTCTCCAGCTCAATCACATGCTTTCTGTGGGTTGATGACAAAAATGTAATTGCATACGCAAGATAAGACCGAACCAGTGATCTATAGAGCAGGAAAATTACTGCTTTTTCTCTAGAGTACATTCCCTTTTTAATGCCTGACCGCACTCTTAGCGTTGTTAGCTAGCGTTGTTCGCTATAGCCTGGCATTGCATACTATTTTTCAATCTGAAGTCAACTTTGGCCCCAAATCTTTTTCAGTTCTGGACTTCCCTAATGGAGTACCCATTTAATGTGTATTCCACTTTTTTTTTATTTCACTTTATTTTTAACCCCAAAAGTAGGGATGCACCGATACTAGTATTCGTGCCAATACTGAGTATTTGGGTGAGTACTTCTACTCGCCCATATGTTCCCGATGCCTATCTCAACACCGCAACTTCCAGTATCGGGAAGCCTTGCGTCGAGTCATTACCTTGTCACTCGGCAATGACTTGCCGTCTGGCTTCCTGATTGGCCAGAAGGCCGGCTCCATGCCTCATCACCTGGTGAGGAGGGAGCATGGAGATTGCTTCCCGGCTAATCTGGATGCAAGGAGGCTAGTCATTACGTGTCGCCCGGCTTCCTCAATGGGGAAAACAATTATCAGTTCTTGATACTGAAAAAAACGGTATTGGTGCATCCCTACCCAAAATGCATTACTTTACATTTTTCAACAATAAACCATCTGTCATGTAGTTTCCCACTCCCCTGTTTTATCCAGGTCATCCTATATTGTTATGATGTCTTACTAGAAGCCTTATGTGGCAAGGAACCCTATTCGGTCATTAACCAGGTGGTCCTGAAGTCTTAACACCTCCTTTTCAAGGGACCCTAATCTCTTTTACCCTACCAAAGAAATGTTCCTGTCATTGTATCTGACCCCAGTTCAGCAGGAGATATATCTCCATTGTTTGGAAGTTTGCCAGTCTTTCTGCTATGACTGCTGTTTTTGAAAAACATGATTATTCCAATTGGGCCCAGAAAGGGCTCCCTGGCTTATGGTCACAAGAATAGTATTCCCCCTTTTTCCCATCAATGCTCGCTCCACCAAGGTTTTCAACACTTCTTGGGCATTTTGGTACAGTGGGGCAAAAAAGTATTTACTCAGCCACCAATTGTGCAAGTTCTCCCACTTAAAAAGATGAGAGAGGCCTGTAATTGGCATCATAGGTAGACCTCAACTATGAGAGACAAAATGAGAAAACAAATCCAGACATCACATTGGCTGATTTGGAACAAATTTATTTGCAAATTATGGTGGAAAATAAGTATTTGGTCACCTACAAACAAGCAAGAATTCTGGCTCTCACAGACCTGTACCTTCTTCTTTAAGAGGCTCCTCGGTCCTGCACTCATTACCTGTATCAATGGCACCTGTTTGAACTTGTTATCAGTATAAAAGACACCTGTCCCCAACCTCAAACAGTCACACTCCAAACTCCACTATGGTGAAGACCAAAGAGCTGTCGAAGGACACCAGAAACAAAATTGTAGACCTGCACCAGGCTGGGAAGACAATCTGCAATAGGCAAGTAGCTTGGTGTGAACAAATTTAACTGTGGGAGCAATAATTAGAAAATGGAAGACATACAAGACCACTGATAATCTCCCTCGATCTGGGGCTCCACACAAGATCTGACCCCGTGGGGTCAAAATGATCACAAGAACGGTGAGCAAAAATCCCAGGACCACACGGGGGGACCTAGTGAATGACCTGCAGAGAGCTGGGACCAACGTAACAAAGGCTACCATCAGTAACACACTACGCCGCCAGGGACTCAGATCCTGCAGTGCCAGACGTGTCCCCCTGCTTAAGCCAGTACATGTCCGGGCCCGTCTGAAGTTTGCTAGAGAGCATTTGGATGATCCAGAAGAGGATTGGGAGAATGTCATATGGTCAGATGAAACCAAAATAGAACTATTTGGTAGAAACACAACTCGTCGTGTTTGGAGGAGAGAGAATGCTGAGTTGCATCCAAAGAACACCATACCTACTGTGAAGCATGGGGGTGGCAACATCATGCTTTGGGGCTGTTTCTCTGCAAAGGGACCAGGACGACTGATCCGTGTACAGGACAGAATGAATGGGGCCATGTATCGTGAGATTTTGAGTGCAAACCTCCTTCCATCAGCAAGGGCATTGAAGATGAAACGTGGCTGGGTCTTTCAACATGACAATGATCCCAAACATACCGCCCGGGCAACGAAGGAGTGGCTTCGTAAGAAGCATTTCAAGGTCCTGGAGTGGCCTAGCCAGTCTCCAGATCTCAACCCCATAGAAAACCTTTGGAGGGAGTTGAAAGTCCGTGTTGCCCAGCGACAGCCCCAAAACATCACTGCTCTAGAGGAGATCTGCATGGAGGAATGGGCCAACATACCAGCAACAGTGTGTGCCAACCTTGTGAAGACGTACAGGACACGTTTGACCTCTGTCATTGCCAACAAAGGATATATAACAAAGTATTGAGATGACCTTTTGATATTGACCAAATTATTATTATTTTCCACCATAATTTGCAAATTTGTTCCAAATCAGCCAATGTGATTTGTCTGGATTTGTTTTCTCATTTTGTGTCTCATAGTTGAGGTCTACCTATGATGCCAATTACAGGCCTCATCTTTTTAAGTGGGAGAACTTGCACAATTGGTGGCTGGCTAAATACTTTTTTGCCCAACTGTATAAGGTCTCTATCCTAGATTTGTAATGCTGCCATTCATTTGTTCCTGCCTCTTCTAGTGCCAGCTTTGGGGGGAGGAGATTACAGTTTACCAGTTTGTAAGTTACAGAAGGCTGAGCAGGGCAGTGCGGGGGAGAGCTCAGCCTCCTGACGGCTCACTGCTCCCCGCTCTCCATCCTGACTCTCTGCCTGTCACAGGAAAGAGCAAAGCGGTTCGGGATGAGAGCAGCAGGCGCCAGGGGTGACAGACCAGTGGGGAGGAGAGAAGCAGTCAGGATGCACTGAGTTTTTGGGAGCACTTTCGGCTGTTATGGTACTTTCAGCATTTTGCCCAAAGTACCATTTTCAACCGAAGTTTCAGCACATCCCTAATAAGTCGCAAGAACAAAGATGCATAGGAGTAAAACTCTGTTTACTCCTAATAGTGGTGCAAACGCGTTCATAAATTCCCATTTGTGTTTCCAATAAAAGAACTGACTGATTTGAGCCAACAGTAAGGAAAAGTTCCCAACTGCTTCATTCAACCTGTCCCTAAAAAGCCCAAATGATTGTATTCATGTCATGTGATTCCTGATTGCAGTCCCTTGAATTCATAATCTGTTTACTGGTTTTATTAAAAGGTCTGATGCCTTCCCTGTTAAAGGAGGACTATGGGGTTAAGGCTTTTCCCCATAGTTCTCCTTAGGCTAACGGGAGGACACAAACTAGCGTCCTCCCGTCACCCTAGGCTCAGTATACCGCGAGCTGTAGCTCGCGGTATACTGAGACGCCTGCTGCTCGCGGTATACTGAGACGCTGAAGCTGATCCTGACAATTGTGCCGGCATCTGTCCAGCTGCGTGACTGACAGCTGGCCCTGCCTATCTAGAGGCAGAGCCAGATGTACCCTCCCCCGTCCGTTCCGCCAACCAGCACTGGCGGGGAGGGGGGAATCTAGCCCCTCCCCTGTCACGGCAGAGAGCCGTGACAGGATCGAGAGGTGAGCGAACGCCGGTATGTGTTCGCTCACCTCCCGATCTACTGAGCCGGCCTGTCTCATTGTCACAGGTTGGCTAGAACTGAGGTGAGTGAAAAGCACTCGCCTCATAGTTCTCCTTTAAGACACTTCCATTTAAATTTATGGAATGTTCTTGCTTTCAATATGTAGAACAAACAATTCAAAGTGAATCTGTGCCTAGATAATGCACACTGTAGTATTTACAATACTGAACAAGCAATTACAATACTAATTCATCTCTGAAAATTATCTTCACAATGCTTATATAAAGTTCACAAAACAGGCTTTTTTTTTTTCTTTGAAAACCGAATCTTGGCAGTCCACCAGCCCTCTAATATAAACTAGTAAGTGTTTCCAAGCTGTTAGAAATGTCCTGTAACCTATTTTGAGCCTGATCTTTGTGACTCAAAGATGATATGTAGTGGGAATATCATAGAGATGGAAGAGATGGAAGGGGTTTGGGAGCAGACAAGGCATACGGGTTTATCTTGTAGTTCTACCAGAAAGGAAGAAAAAAATAACGGGAACATTTTTAATGTCCATAGTCTGGGCATAGGTGTACTTTCCTAGCATAATCTGACCTAATTTTATGTATTTCCACTTTTCCAGACAAATTTGAAAAAATCTTTTTGTGCTTCTGCTTGTGTAGCATACAAAGTGACTTTTTTAACCCCTTCATGACTGAGGCCTTCATCTTTTGATGAAAAACCTCTTTTTCACCCATGTTATATTCCACATTTTAGGCCTGAAAATGACTTAAAACCCCCAAACATTATATATTTTCTGAATGCCAAGACCCTATAGAATAAAATGGTGGTAGTTGCGAATTTTTATGTTGCGCAATATTAGCACAACTCCTTATTAAACCCCAAAATTTAGTGACAAATTTAATTGCCCCAAAACACAACAAAATACAATTTTTTTTAATGAAATATAAAAGATGAGGTTACAGTAAAACGATACCCAACATGCCCAGGTTACAAATTGCGTGCGTCCGTGAAACGGTGAAAAACTGCAGTACCCCAAAAAGTCCATAGACGCTTTAAAAGCCCCCACAGGTCATCAATTTAGAGATGCCCTAGAATTATTAAATGAAAAATAATTACACAGCGCTAATTAAATTAAAATTAGAATGCATTGCTCCCACTCCGGCGTGCTCGGCGATACTCAACATGTGTAGCGCGTTTGTCTGTTTCATACGTAGGAGCACCCAACGCATGTTTACGTGGCGACACGGGGGCGGGGGACTTTTAAATTTTTTTTTTTATTAGATTTATTTTATTTTTAAAACTTTTTTTTTTTTTTTACTTGGGGGGGGGTGTAAGCCCCCCCATGTGATAGCAGATGGTGGTGACAGGTACTCTAAGGTGATGCTGGGGGTCCAAAAGACCCCCAGTGTCACCTTTACACAAGTGACACAGCAAAAAAATTACAAAAACATACTTCCTGCAGATGTTTTCTTCTAAATCTGCATCTCAATAACCGCAGTGAGGATCAACAAAAATCTCTCTCTCCACTTCAAGTATAAATGCGATTTAGGTACTAGCATTTATAGGTAAAAAATGTAATTTCAGCTTATCCAATTTTTTAATGTTTAACTATAACCACTTTTGTATACTACAATATGGCAGGTACTCCTAGCATGGGTTAAAGAGCTGTATAATCAGTAGTAGCAATTGGTAGCATTTTCAACAGCAACAGATCAAAACTACAATGCTAGCAACTTGTTTTTATAACGTTTGCTCCTTGCACAGTCTTCATTACTGCAATAAACTACCATCCCCACTGATGCCAAAGACTGATTGGGATCAGTTGCCCTGCATTGTGAGGTGACTATGTAATACCCCATGTCTGGAAGTACTGGGGCTTGATTGGGTCAAAGTGCAGGTTTGCCATAAAGTTTAACTAGACCCAGAAATGTTAATTAAAAATATTTCAGTTTACCAGTTCTTGGGTGTGGTGGTTGTGTAATGAAGCTGACCAAATGCAGACATGTTTTGTTTGCAGGATTATTGGGTAAAAATTAAATAAGCCTAAAAAAATGCAGGCACTTCATGTAAGAACTGGCTAGCTGCCATGTATAACTTTTGTTTAGATGCATTTTAAGTGAAGCCTTGTACTAAATTACAACGGCATGGCTCATGGTTATCATTTTTGCCTTTATAGCATTTGCTGTAATGAAGAAAAATGGTTAACTTGGCATAATGTTTGAGGCTTGCTTGTTCAAGTTTTGCGTATTTTATTGCGATTTGTGTTTTTACTATTAGTATGCCTTACCTTTTTAACAGGGCAAGAAGTACAAGCCTTTGGATTTGAGGCCAAAGAAGACCAGGGCTCTCAGGCGCCGGCTGAACAAGCATGAGGAGTCTTTGAGGACTAAAAAGCAGCAAAGAAGGGAACGTCTCTACTCTGTGCGCAAGTTTGCTGTCAAAGCATAAGTCTCATGTGTTAAATAAAATGTGTTACTTATTCTTTTGTGTCCTGTCTTATTGGTGCTGTTGAACTTGTAAAGGTAAAAATACTTAAATTGTGTGTTTTTTTTTTTTTTTTTTTTTTTTTTTTTAAAGAATGTGATACTTAACATTCACATATGAACTTACACCTGTACTAGCTTTGTAAGAACTCGGGTAAACCAGCTGGTTTTAGGGTTTGGGACAATTAGGCTTGGATGAAACCCATGCAAACACATGTGAACTTAATTGAGGCAAATTGTGTATGTGTGTTTAATCGTCGGGTCTTTTCTGCCCGTGCGTGCCCGCTAGGGGGCGCGCGAGCAGAAAAAAATTGCGGTCTGTAGACGGCAACCCGCAGATGTAGCAGTGCCGTCCGTCTGTTTTTTTACTACGGGCGGACGGCAAGAGGTTAAACTCTGGACCCTCATATTGAAAGTATTGTGATACAATCATAAGTGGATGCACTATCCCTAGTCATCTTCCAGGACAGCACAAGAGTGGCTTCACCCACCTAAATGGTAAACACAAGCTTTACAAACCAATACAATGCCAGAACCCTGCTAACCTCAGTTGTGTTTTTGACCTAGAAGGATCAACTACACATGGTGCTAGTAGGCAGGACAAAACTGTTCTCTCAGGACATTGGTGATAGGAAAGGTGTTTGGAGTTCTTTTTTTTTTTTTGGGTGGGGGAATGTTTCTGGTAAAACAATTTTTCTAGAGGTGTGTTTTTTAAGGACAGAATGAAAACGGCTGGAGAAGCTGAGGTTTGATGTGGCAGGCAATCAGAGCACAAAACATTGTCAGTCTGCAGGCCTACCTTTTTTTTTTTTTCCCCCTTTTGCCAGCTCCACTCCACTCATATTTGGATGACCTATTTTGAGAGTTCAGGTAGTGGCAGACTTGAATATGGCACTTTGTCAACGAGAGACGATGGGATGTATCATCAACATGGAAACATTATAATATAGTGGCCTAGGCTATGACATACATTCCAAAGTGCGAAATATATTTTTGCCCACCTAAAAGCTACAGATAAAATTTAGACCCTTTGCCAACATTCTCCGCTCCATGCTGAAGATCTGGAATAAGGCTCCTTGGACTTATGAACTCTTCAATATGAGCTGTGCAGTGGGCACAAAGCTATTTAAAGGGTTTCTAAACCCTCAGTTTTTTTGCATATATCTACTGCTAGCAAGCAGTAGATATATGCAAAAAGTTTAAAAAACAAACAAACTTTAAAAGCAGTTTAAACGTACCCGTCTTGGCTGCGTGCTACCGTCCGAAAATCTGAGAAATGCTCAGGCGGCCGCAAATCATCTTGGGGCAGGCGCATGCGCAGTTCGGATTTTCGCCTGAGACGCAAGGTAAGTATATGGACGCATGCAGACACTGTGGGACAGGAAGTGGCAGCAAGGACAGGAGTCAGCGCTGGATCGGAGACCTGCAGCAGCGCTGGAGAGAAGGCTGAAAAGGACAGGAAAGGGGAAGATCGGATTAAGAGACCTCATTTAACCAGTTGACATCCGGGGTGTTAATGATGGGCTAGCGGATCCCGGGATTAAAGGTGAGGGGGGAGATGGCGGCACTCGCAAGGAGGGGGGGCGCTCCGAAATTCGCGCCATACAACCGATCGGCGGCTATAGAGCCGCTGATCGGTTGTATGTGAAACAGCCGTTAACGACTGTAGTAACGAGCGGGTCTTTCCTGCCCGGGCGCGCGCGCAAGCAGTAAAAAAAAATGCCGTCTGGATGCGAGTCTGCCGTCCGTCCGTTTTTTCTTAACCGGCGGACGGCAAGAGGTTAAGGTAAGTGTTTTAATTGACATTGAGGGTGGGAAAAAAGTTTTTCACTGTAATGTCACTTTAAGACTTAATAATTTTCTTTTGGCAAAATGGGATGGGTATGGCTACAACATGCTGCTTGGGTGGAAGAACACTCAAACCTGTCTTGAGGACAAATATGGCTTCCCACCAACGCAACATTGATGCAATGGGCAGCCCATTTAGACCTTTTGGTCACCCATAGAAAATGGAGCGAAGAGTGGTCAGTTCAAGTCTTTGCATTGAACAAGGGAGCTCCTAGCTTTAGGGAAGCTCTCATATAATTTCTTCAAATTACCCAGAAGGTCTGGCTATTTTCAGACAATGCTATGTATATGCTGTAATAGGGCTTCCAAAGGGTCTTTGCGAAATGTCTTGCCAGTGACCGTGTACAGGAGTTGGTGGTAGACCCTATGCCAGAATCTCCTCACCTTGGGACAAGCCCACCAAATGTGATGGACCGACCCTCTCCACCCGGCAACCCCTAAAGCAATTTGGTGAGTAGGACGGGATAGCTTTGGAGATCCTGAGGGGCACCAGATACCACCTGAAGAGCAATTTATAGTTTGCCTCTATTGCTTGGACATTTGCTGAGCTTTGAGAGGTTGTTGCCCATATCTGGGACCAGGTGTCAGAGAGCAGCCCAGATCTCGTAGGAGGGGAGAGGAGTATGTAAATGATCAAGTAACTATATATAGGGTTGATATAGTCCCTGTGCTAGTGGTATCATTGAGTAGGAATTTCTCGAATGGAGTAAGGGGAGGGAGGGTCTTAATGTGCCCAAATGAGTCAGTAAAAAGTGTTTAATTTGCAAAAATTGTAAGATGTGTCTAGGAGTCAAATGGTGTTTGGCTTGGAGCGTCGGGAAAGGCGTAACTCCAGTCTCTGAGCAAAAGTCTTTAATTAAACTCAAGGAGTTGGTATGCTAATGTTTCATGGCATCAGGGTTGGAGTAGCCAGGTAAGAACAATGGAAAGTCAGGAAATCAACAGCACTCAGTAGTAAAGATAAATATGTCCCTTTTATTGGACAGAAAGCTTCAGACATCCAAATAAACCGACTTTTCGGGGCCGCACAGGGTCCCTTCCTCAAGGCAGAAAGATGTGACCGTACGAACAATGGGTTCCCATGAATGGACATCAGAGGCATATGCGGAGACACCCAGCCTGAGGGGCGCCTCAGTCCATCCCAAAATTTCAAGGTGTGTGCAAGAATAGGGTTATTTAGAGTCCTAAATAGGGTTATTAGAGACCCAAAGTGGCATTTCGCTCTTCCAGAACCAATATACTAGAGGAGCCAATTGGGCAGCTTAATAGTATTTTTGAAAGAAGGGAAGTCCCAGACCTCCCTTCATCTTGTTCCGGTAAAGAACTAGTTGAGACCCTTGGGAATGATCCTTTCCATATGAACGAAGTATGCGTCGTTGGAATTGCCTAAGACGAAAGGTAGGAATGGTCGACGGGGAGGACTCTTGCGTGATAGAGGAATTCAGGCTGCCGTGTCATTTGGACCGCTGTGACTCTTCCGAGCCATGAGGGGATATTTTTCCCATGAGGACAGTAGGGATTCCATATGAGAAAATAGTTTGGGGTAGTTGGCTTGATACCATTGGGCATAGGAAGAGGTGAGGTGTATCTCTAGGTAGGGCAACTCGAAGTTCACCCACCGGTAGGGGAATGAGTTTTGTAGTGAGGAGCGCAAGGAAGGGGTATGGGAGACATCAAGTGCTTTGGATTTTTCCATGTTGACATAAAGACCTGAGAGGTTACTGAACAGCTGTAGTAGTGGCTGGAGATTTGGGAGAGAAATCAATGGTTCAGTAAGGATCAGCAGCTCATCGTCTGCGAATAAACTAATTTTGTGATGGTATCCCGCTACTTCTATACCTTTTTAATGTCTGTATGTTGCCGTATTGCCTGAGCTAGGGGCTCGATGGCTAAGGCAAAGAGAAGGGGTGAAAGAGGGCAGCCTTGCCTAGTCCCTCTAGTGATCTCAAATGTGCGTGAGTGAAAACCTTGGTACCAAACATAAGACGTGGGTTTTAGAGTACAACGCCCCTATCCAGTGCATAAAGTAGGATCCAAATCCCCATCTAGTGAGGGTATAATTCAAGTATTCCCACCCGACTGGGCTTTTTTTTTCTTCTTCACAGTTCGTAGAGAAAGAGGAGATCATGAAATGACCTGTTCATGACCAGGATGAACCCGGAACTAGGGAAGTTTATCCCTGTAGAAGACCACAATGGGAGCCAGCCATGGAAGTTCCTCATGGAGTGATTCTGATTGTGGTTTGGCAGTCTCCAGGGTTGAGTGTGTGTCCGCCTTGGGTTCTACTGCCTCTGCCAGATTTAATAAACCAGGAACTGGTGCTGCACCCGATAGCGTTGGTGACTCTGATAGTTGATGCACTATCGTCAAGTAGAAAGGCTACTAATGCTATTTATGAAAGTATGCAAAACCTACTAGAAACAAAAGATCCCTTTTAGTATTCTAGTCTCTGTACTAAAGTTCCTTCAAAAAGGGGCAGGGAAACACTTGTAAGTGCAAATAGCAGCTCTGTCATCCTGTTTAGGGGTTAGATTAACCGAAGAGCCTCGCATCAAGAGATTTTAAAAATCGTAGACAAGTCAGCATCCCAGGGTAAATTTTTGCAGTGGGACGTCGCTGTAGTCCTTTTGAGCTTTGCGACAACCTCCTTTTGAGCATCTAGAGCAGGGGTAGCCAAACTCATGCCCTCTAGCTGTGGTGAAATTACAAATCCCATTATGCATCCCTCTCCGAAAGTAATGTATGTGCCTGTGAGAATCTTGCAATGCCAAATGTGGCAATGCCTCATGGGATTTGTAGTTCAGCCACAGCTGGAGGGCTGGAGTTTGGCTACCCCTGATTTAGAGGGTTGCTTGGCCAGCAATATTACACTGGAAACTGTTCTGCTTGTGGCCCTTACCTTCACTATGAAAGTAAGTGAGATTCAAGCTTTGTGTATAGACAAAATTCTTTAAATATATTAATAGTAAAAAAAAAATAGGGTCTGAGCATGTAGGCCCCTTTAAAAGATAACTCAGAGTTGGTAACTGGGGACAAAGAAGGCAAATCTAGTAAATACTTTCTTCAGCTCTGTGCACACCAAGGAACACGATGTAACTTAAGTCCATAATGGGGATGGCAGTGCCATAGCCTCTACTGAACCACAATGGC